ATGGACAGGCCCAATCCAGATGCAAAACGTAAGGCCCATGACGCAACACAAATGTACTCAATAATCTCCCCCTTTACGTCTTTGGAGCCGAAACCTTAATTCTGTTGAGCAACAGAAGTCTTCTTCACAGTCTTGAACACCTTCGGTATGATGGCCAAAAGATGATAGCAAAATGTAATGTACCATCGAAGCATGTCTATAAAATTCTTCTTGTCAGCCTCTGAGTTCTCCTTGCACCGATGAACTATATTGATGATGTGCTCTAAGCAGTCGGTAGAAAACAAGTGTTTATCCACAAGAGTGAATAAAAATATGTGATCTTCGCCTTTGGTAAACATCACATTCAGATGTTTTGAATCTATTTCGCCCATCTTTATCTTATTTACATCTCCTGGTTTCGGTGTAGGCTTCACAGTTGGCTTCTTGTTCATAACCTTCGCAATCTCCTGATCCATAGTAGCAACTTCATGGATGTAGGAGGCCAACATTCTCTTCAAGTGTTCTAGAATAGGCTCATATTCCTTTAGATTAGTGAGCAGAATGTTGTATAGCAAAATCCAGTCATGGGGATTCAGATTAGGAAGGTTTGCTAGAGAGATAGTCGACACCGAGTTTGTAGAACCTCGAGTGATTTTAAAATTGACATTGATGAATCTACCAGTAGGTGATGGTTTGAGAACCTTAACAGTCACAATTTTCTGGGCACTCCATGTTAGGTACTGAGGTTGTCCATACTTTATATAGAAGTCAATTAGCTCTTGGTCAACCTTTGGGTGAGGAAAAGGAACCTCAACAGTCGAGTCAAAGCAATGAAACGTGAATGATTTTCTTGTTATCGACATATCGAACTGCGAGTCCTTCGACTTGTCACAGTCAAACGAAGCAACAGGTTCCAACCAATAAACACTTGGAAACTCTAAAGCTTGATTGATAAGTGTCGCTTTTTTCCCTAAGGGAAACAAGGCCTTCTTGCAGTTCAAGGCTTCTTCTTCTTCCTTGTTTCTCCTTTTCCTCTCTTCAGCCTCCTTTGCTACTTTTAGAGTTTCATCCAACTCCCGGTCTCTCTTGTTTCTCTTGAGAGGCTCAACAATGGTTTCTTCAACATCACTATCACTTTCATCAATGATCTCCTTTCGCTTTGCTTGAGAACCAGAACCTGAAGCTACATTATCCTTCAGTTCGGTTGTGACTTGGACTTTCGGTTAGGTAGTTTCTGTTTTCACAACCACCTTCTATTGAACATTTTCTCCCTCTTGTTTTGGAGTTGTGAATGGCTCCGAAACACCCTTCGTTTCATGTAATATGGCAAGGGCAGGAAGAAGTTTTGTAGTGAGATGATTTCTGATTGTCAAAGTAAGAATAGGATTATGAGCACCAGGAAGATTGGTTAACGTGGCCTTCACATCACTAGCACAACTACGGAAAACAGACCTTTCGGTCTTCAACAAAGAAATCTCTTTTTCTGCTAGGGCTAGCTGCACTTTGTGTACTTCAATCGTGGAGGATTGTCAGGCCAGTTCTTCCTACAGAGCACTTTCTGTTGCTAGATTAGCGTGAAGAGATTCAAGTCTAGAAGTCACTGAACTGATAAGTGAAGAATTCTCAGCTTGAATAGAGGAACATGCAGCCTCAAACTTTGATTGCTCTTCTTGAAGAGACTTGGAGAAAGAATCCACAGAGGCCTGTACCTTGGCTGCATTTGTGTCGGCATGCCCCTTCGAAATCTGTTAGTGTATATCATGTTTGTGTATGCTTCTAAATTATTCTTCTACACACACACACACATATATATATATATATATATATATATATATATATATATGTATATCGGTATATCGATTCCATTCTTTTTACGTATTAAGATGAATCTCTACATAATTGATAATCTTGAAGAGACTTTGAAAATTTTGTCTTTGTATTTAATATAGAATGAAAATTTTATTAACAAATCAAAAAGACAAAATTGCAAATTTGGTCCCTGTGGTATGTCAAAACTAGCATGTTTGGTCCAAAATGGGTTTGACTTGCAAGGATGGTGCAATAGTTTCTATTTGTTGCGGGTTTAGTCCAATGGCTTAACAGCCGTTACCAAGCTCCCGTTAAATTAAACATGCCCCTCTCACTTAAGGGTATTTTAGTCCATTCATCTAGCCCCTTTATTATTTTATTATTATTTAGTCCCTAAAGAGACTACAACGTCTCTATTCTCGTCTCCAGCAATAAGCCCTAACTATCACTCCCTCTCTGATTTCATCTTCTCCATCGATCACCCCCCCGGTGATTTCATCTTCTCCATCGACAATGGTGATGTGCTTCTGCAGAAAGTGGGCGATAGTTCGGACATCATGGATATATAACAACCCAGGGCGCCGATTTTGGGGATGTCCTGACCCGATAAGTATGTTACACTTTATTTTGACGATTGCTCCCTGATGATCTAATGTTTCTTTCTTTCTTTTTTTTTCAAGAATTCATCATGTGGGTTTATTGGGTGGTATGATGAACCCATGTATGCTCGTTCCAAAGTTATAATACCAGGGCTGGTTAGGACAATCAATAAGCTACAAAAAGCAATGGATGATATAAAAGAACAAGCAAGCAAGCATGAAAAAACAATGGAGAAGATCAAAGAAGAAGCAACTATGTTGAAATATTACCTAGTCTATAGTTGGATTTTTTTGTTGTTGTGTTGGTGTTCTTGGTGTAAGTCCACAGGTTGATTGTGGTTATCTTTTGTAATAGGATAGGGGTATATGTGTCTAGTTTAAGTAGTTTTTTTTGCTAATGTGGAACATTGTTGTAATGCAAAGTAATGGTAATGAAAATTTGGTATCTATTGACCAATTATGGATTTGTTCTGTTGTTCATACATAACCTTCTAAAGATAACATATAATGCATCCATAAGTAGTTAAACACAAAAGCATACTGAAGACATAATACCTATTACCATCTTCAAAATACATGTCATAAGTTAATTGAAAACAAAGTTATTGCAACAAAAGACATCCTGCATCTAGGAATCAAACCAAACTTGTTCATAAAGTCAAACCAAAAGATAAAACCAACATAGACCATCAAGTCCCTCCCTGACCTTTGCATGTCCTAGAGTTGTGCCCTTTGTTTCCACACTTACTACAAGTCACACTAACAAACTTTCTTGTTAGTTTTCCACTACCATGTGGACCACGACCATGAATCTCACTGGGACCAACATCTGACCTTTGACTCTGACTTTGAATCTTGCTTTGACTTTTCTCCTCCATGGATTGCCTTCTCTTCCTCTTAGGTCTCGCAGGTTGATTATGGTGTGGGGGAGGTGTGATCTGCATTGGACATTACTTCTAGGCCACAGTGCCCGACCTTTAATTGGTTCCACCTTGTACCCATATGCAGTTTTCCAAGTTTGTAGCAAGTGCACCTTGTAGACATAAGTATGGAGCTCGTGTACACACTCACCATGATCTGCTTTGTTATACAACACAGAAATCACATGTCTGCAAGGGACACCTGTTAATTCCCATTTCCTGCAGCTGCATACCCTTTCATGCATATCAATAACATGTTGATCATTCCATGGGCCTTCGACTTGGTATTTTTCATCACCACACCATTCTGCAATGTACTGAGTAGCAACTGCTTCATTCTTCTCCATGATCTTTGTTGCTGTTGGGGTGAGTGGGCCTACACACTTTTGTTTCACCTTGAGGACATTGCATATCCTCTTCATCATATATTCCCTAATAAACTCCAAGCAGCTAATAATTGGTTTGTCTCTCCCATCAACCAGCTTTCCATTAAACACCTCACAAAGGTTGTTTAACAACATGTCTGGGGTTGCTCTCCATGTATATAAAAGGGTAAAAGTGTCATAATGTTGTGTAAAGGGTAAAATAGTCAAAGGGTATAATGGTAAAAGGGTAAAAGTGTCATAATGTTGTGTAAAGGGTAAAATGGTCAAAGTGTGTAATGGTAAAAGAGTAAAAGTGTCATAATGTTGTGTAAAGGGTAAAATGGTCAAAGGGTAAAATAGTAAAAGGATAAAAGGGTCATAATAGCTTACCTGTGAAATGGCTTTTTGCCCAATGTTGTGGTGGTATTGACTTCAACCATTCATATGCTGATTTGTCATATAAACTGAATTGGTGCATGTAATGGTTAAACTCAGGCACTGTTGTAGCTATGGCACAATCCCAAAGGTGATCTTTATATTCCTTAGTTCTCCATTGTTTCTTCATGTTCTCATGTATATGTCTGAGATAGAACCTATACTCAGCACATGGGAACAGTTGACTAACTACTTGTAGCAAACCTTGGCAACAAATCACACATGATTAACATATAAACATTAAAAATAATAAATAAACAACCATTACCTTTTGTCTGTCACTAACAAAAGTGAAATTAGACATAGCATGTAGATCCAAATCATCACCAAGACATTCAAGGAACCACTTCCAAGATTCACAGTTTTCAATCTCTACAATGGCATATGCAAGTGGGTATATGCCATTGTTGGAATCTAATCCAACTGCAGTTAAGATCTGGCCTGGATAAGGGCCTTTCATATGAGCCCCATCTAGCCCCAAGAAATCTCTTAAATAAGCTTTGAATCCCTTCTTCACCCCCCCTAGACAAACATAGATTCTTTTGAAACATCTTGAAGTGCAATTTACCAAATTAGATTCTGAAACATCTCCAAGTTCTAATTTGACTGTGGTATCAGGATTAGTTGACTGCAACTCAAGGATATAGTCTCTTAGAACTTCATACTGTTTTTTGTAATCACCCACTACAATCTTTTTTGCGTTTGCTTTAGCTCTAAAAACTTTATGAATTGAGAAACCCACTCCATACTTCTTCTGTAATTGTTCTTGGAGAGCTTTAACTGGGATAGTAGGGTTGGATTCTACCTGATCCATGATTTGTTTGGACATAAACTTTGCTGTTGCAGCTCTCACCTTCCTTGTATTCATACAAGTGTGCTTGTCTTCATATGTTTTAATGTACCAACTGCTTGCAAGATGCCATCACTCCATCCTTGCTCATAACCCTTCTCCTATTATATCCAGGTGACAAGGATACGACTTGAACTACTTCATTGACTTGGATTTCAGGTTGGTTTGCTTGAGTGGGCACCACATCAACTAAATTATCAGTAGGTGTAGTCATCATAGGTGTTTCCTTTGATTGGTCATCAGGAGCTTCATCAATGTGTTGCACATCCTCATGTGGTTCATCTAACTGTACAAGGGTAACCTTGGTAACAGGCTTAGGATTCAAGAAATAGGTGAGTAGTCTTGTTTCACCATGTTCTGTGTATACATTCATCACTTTGTGCTCACTGACATATTGAGAAAAGTTTGCAACATCTTGATCATTTCCTAAAGGGTGAAGACCAAAGTGGAAGTCTCCACCAGGCACAAGAAAATGGTAGTATATAACAGGAGGAACCCCATATCTAAAACCCTTCATGATTGCATCGAGCTCATGAACTGAAAACTCATCTATATCTACCATGTCAACATAGTTACAATTCCATCAATGTAACGAACATCAAGGTACTTGGTGAAATCACCTCCATGGTACAACTTAATGGTAAACAATGTTGGGTGTCCATCTTCAAAACAAGAAAAAAACACCTCAGGTGGACTTACTTCAACAAAAAAAATCAAGAAATTAAAAGATGAAAAAGGGCAAATTACGTACCATAAATAAACTTGGGGTTGAAGGGTGTGTTTAACAATCTTACGTGCCACATTGGTATGTTCATCCACCGATAATCTCTACAAATCGCAGCTTAACTAACATAACTGATTTTGTGTCTAGGGCTTTTATTGAGCTTGGTTAAACAACGACGATCTACTTTATTGAGGAGACGAACTGCTTTTATTGAGCTTTAGCGGGAACGGTTACAGGGATGAATGGACTAAAATACCCTTAAGTGAGAGGGGCATGGCTAAATTAACGGGAGCTTGGTAACGGCTGTTAAGCTATTGGACTAAACTCGCAACAAATAGAAACTATTGGACCATCCTTGCAAGCCAAACCCATTTTGGACCAAACATGCTAATTTTGACATACCACAGGGGCCAAATTTGCAATTTTGTCAATCAAAAACTAAGGTTGCACTTTTTTTTAACAGGTAAAATGGTTTTAGGTTTATTCTATGTTTATGGAATAAAATATGGACAAAAAATCTTTTTTCATATCACTTGTCTTAATAAAAAAAAATTGTTTGGTTTTTTCTTTAAGTTTACAAAAAATAAAAAAATTAAAAAAAATCAATAGTGTTGTCATTGATAGTGGGGGCGATGGTTGTGTTGTTGGTGCTGGAGGTATGGCAGAGGTAGCGGAAGTGAGGGTGTGGGCACAGTGGTGGTGGTGGCGGCAGTGACAACAACAACTAAATGGTAACAGTGACATTGATGGTAGCGGTGACAATAGTGATAAATGCTATGGTGGAAAAAAATATCACTTGTATTAAAACTTATAAAACATCTTCCAAAATCAAAAACTATTTTTTTGTATTTGGGAAAAAGATGTTAAAAATACTTTTTTTATATCTTTTGGTTTTTAAAAACAACCTTCTCAAATGTCTTTATGCCCGCACACATAAGGCTATCAGGTATGTCTACAATATGTACGAACATGTTTTCACACCACCTCATCACATCTTTACTCCACAAACACCATTATACCACAGGAGGAATGGTCATTCGTAGAGAGAGTGAGGAAGAGAAAACAAGAACAATAACAAAAGATGTCTTCCAACCAATCAATGTCTTCGTGATCTTTCGTGACCTGCACCACTTCACAAGACATCTACGCCCTTTGGGGGCAGTGTTCACACGTGGAAGGAATGTGCCACGTAAGTACCAACGCGTAAAATGACTTTCGTACTAGCTAGCCTAAGAGATCAAAATGATTTTTTTTTTCAAAAAAAAAAAAAAACAAATAAATAATAAAAAAAATAAAAAAAAGGCTACCTAAAGGTATGCAGTTGCATACCCTTCTTTTGCTACAGATACACCTAGGGCTGTAAACGAACTGAACGTTCGGCGAACCGTTCGTGAACTGTTCGGCGGGAAGTTCGTTTATGTTCGTTTATTTAATAAATGAACGAACATGAACAAAAATTATCGTTCGTTTAGTTAAATGAACGAACATGAACAATGGTCTCGTTCGTTCATTTATGTTTGTGAACGTTCGTTTACGATGTTCATTTACGTTCGTTTATGTTCGTTCGTTTAAGTTTATTTATATTCATCTATATTCAATTATTTTTTATTATATTGCTATATTATATGTTCGTTTATGTTCATATATGTTTAATTGTGTTTTTTAATCTTTGTTCGTTTATGTTTGTTCGTTTATGTTCGTTTAGCATGTTCACGAACATAAATGAACGAACATGAACAAAGTAATTTGTTAAACGAACGAACATGAACAAGAAAATCTCGTTCGTTTATTCGTTCGTATTCGTTTGTTGTTCGGTTAACTTAAACGAACGAACATGAACAAGACCTTGTTCGTGTTCGTTTGGTTCGTTTACAGCCCTTCATACACCCCCTATGAAAAAAAAAGTTGGCCTCATAGAATTTCGATTACTATATGTGAGAAAACATTCCTCTTGGGAACCACAATTTATATAAACCCATTGATTTTTCTTATATATATAAAAAAATACTAATGTATGCAATAAAATGAAAGATGAATCTCGATTTAATTATAAAGTTATTTTTTTTTTAATTTTTAATTTTTTTTTTATTTTTAAGTATAAAAGAATAATCACAAGTTTATACTAGGGGTGACAAATCGTGCAATCGTTTCGTGTTTCTGTTTGATACGACACGACACGACAAGGTTTTATGTAACATGAACACGACACGAAACGATATCGTGTTTTTTTTAACAAACATGAAAACGAACGAATTAAAAAACGACAAACATGACACGACACGAAAAATATATCATATACTAAAAACTAGGTTATTTAATGAATACTTTATCAAATATAACACAAAAAACAAGACAAACACGATAAAGAACTGCTAAATCGTGCCAATTTCGTGTTGAATTTTGAACACAAACACGACACGACACGACATCGTGTTTTTATAATTAACACGAATACGAATTTAAATTTCAGTTTCGTTCCAATTTTGTTTCGTATCGTGTATTTTTATCGTGTTGTGTCATAAATTATCACCCCTAATTTATACAATATGAGCAAAAATAAAGGTAGCAGCTGATTAAAGTGAAACCAACATAAAACTACAAACATGTTTAGTTGTTTACATATTTATTCCGAAAACAAAGTTTTAGAGAGTGCACGCATTAAAATCGGACAACAGAAGAATCAATTGGAATTATGAAAAGCAAAATCACTTATAAAACCACCAACCGCCATCCTTATCCATATCCACCGTCCTTTTCCTTTTGCTTCACAGAACAATGATTAATATAAAATCAACATTATATTATATTATCCTATATTTAATATTATCTTTTGATATAATTATTTACGACAAATTATTATAAATATTATAATGTTAATATTTTCTCTTCAAACTTCCTAGGGAATGGATCGAGAATTTACAAAACGAAAGTTAGTGAAAACTAACAAATAAATAAATGTTAAAAGAAAGAACCGAGAATCCTATGTGAAGGATCCGGTAACCGACAACACTTTTTCACTGTCAAACAAATCCACCGAAAAACTGAATCCTCATCCATATCCATACTCCTATTTGATTATCTACCCTATAAAAGCAAGCCTGACAATTCCTTCCCCTTACATCAAACCATTAAGACAATGGCAGACATAGCGATGTTAATGGCGGAAGCATACGAGAAGATGATGAAGAAGATGTCAAGTGATCATGAAGATCTTGAGTTGCTTTCTTCATCAACAGTGGTGTCCGGAGTGTGGATGAAGAGGCCTCGTCTGAACAAGTTGGTTCACGAGCCTAAATCTAAGATCGGGCTTGCAACCATTAATGGTTTCTTTTCAGCTTGATATTCAAGAATTGAAATCTGTTAGTGTATATCATGTTTGTGTATGCTTCTAAATTATTCTTCTACATATATATGTATATCGGTATATCGATTCCATTCTTTTTATGTATTAAGATGAATCTTTACATAATTGATAATCTTCAAGAGGCTTTGATGTGTCATGATCAGTGATCCAATCAAACCAACCTAGCGCATGATCGACTCACCTTATAGAGCAACTTATTGGTAAAACGATGATTATACTATCGTCGGATGACCTCTAATGTGATTGTTGAGGCTTATATGCTTATGAAGAAGGCCAAAGCATTGATTGTATATGCAAGGAATTAATCAAAAGTTATTATTGACTACTATAGTCTATAGGACCATATATAATTCGTAAGTGGAGTGTGTAGTATGTCTTATTTGTTTTTTTGGTGCCTAGTCTGCTTCTTGGTTTTGTTTTCTTTTTCAATGTGAATTAATAACGAATTTTTTGGGAATTGATTTAAAGCAATTTTGTTAATCTTGTATAGTTGTTATTAAAATTATTACAACAAATTTGGTGAGCAAAGGGAGGTTTTGATCGATCAAACGGACAATCTCAGCTTCTACATCATCTGCATCTTCTTTTGAGGAGTTTTTCGGTTGTGTGTTTTTTTTTTTTTTTTTTTTTTTTTGAGGTCGACATGGGAGTAAATTGGTGGTGTTGAATGTTTTTTCCTAAACGGCTAGCAAAATATAGATGAATAAACAAGAACTTACGTGAGGAGCTTAACTCATATTACAATTAAAAAAAATGGGAGATATATCAATTAAACCAATCTTCTTTAATAAATAAATGTTTTTTTTTTCCCACTTGTCACAATCTCATTCATTTTATGTTCATTTTGAATTAATTATTTCATATGTAATTTTGTGGTTTTCTTATTTTATTAAATTTTATATGATATTTAAATTTAATAATAAATACGTATCCATTTCATTAATGGATTTTCCTTATAACTTCAAGAAACGAAGGGCTAAATAGCACCAGAATCAGCCGGTCTGGATTTCCAACGCCTCGGGAAACTATCGTTCGGTTCGGATAAGTAAAGTCCCTTCGGTCAGTTCGCTCAGGTGATCCTCCCTTCTCTTCCCTAACGTTCAGAGTTCAGGCGATAGGATGTTATAGGATAGGCTTACTAAAGCTCGTGTAAACAAGATTTATAGGAGAGAGGGTGAGTTCTCCTTGAAAGAATCATACGGAAGCTCTCTCGGTACTAAGATTCCTGGAGGTGCTACTTCTGGTACTCCGGGGACAGGATTCGAACCTGTAGTCTTCAGATCATGAGCCTGATGAGTTGACCATTCCTCCACCCCGCTTGCCATTGTTGTTCTTTTGACGATGAACCACTCCGGTAGGAAGAGAGCCATTAGAAAAGAAAGAAATTCAAAATGTTCCTGATGGAAGTGGCCATGGGTATTTAAAATAAAAATGCTTTGATTATTTTATCTATATGATTTGTTTAAATTTAAAAGAGAAAAAAAAACACTTTAATTATAGTAATTCAATATTTTTCTTATAAATTCAAATTTTCTCAAATGTTTATACATATTTAATTGTTTTAAATACACCCATGTAATAAATAGGGTTCACACCTAATTAATTATATTTAATTTGGATATACTTTTAATCCGATTAAAAGTATAAATTCGAATATTTTTCGTCCAAAGAATTATCGTTTCTTCCCAAAAAATCGATAACACTATATTCCTTTTAGATGATGATCTATAAGGTGGAGCACACGCGACAATCACAGCTGATACATCTTTTTTTTTGTCATTTTTACGAGATTGTAACGGTGAGTCTAAAATAATGAACCATTGTTCACTAACTGAGATCAATTGGGCTGGTCTAAGAGAAAAGAAAACCGAGTTGACACACTAAACTAACTGAGATCAATTGTTCATGTAACCTACCTTGTTACACACTAAACTCGCTCATGCGAGTCCGACATCTCCATCCAGGGCGTTTTAGTTTTAATTTTTTTAGCCCTTGGGTGAAAACAGATGCCCCATTCCTTTCGAAGTAAATTATAAACTAAATTTATAGTCAACCACCTGTCATGGGGTCAAATTTCCGTCCGATGCCACACGCGAATGCCAATTTTCAAGGATTAACTAAGTTGTCAAAAGGGATTCAGAATGAACATGAAGCACTTGTTGTTGGATAAGGGCCCATACTTAAGTTTATTATGCTTATCCTGATGAATAATATTGTCTTACAAATGTGTTGAATGGTTTTGTCCAATCATTGGTTGATCGGGGAATAGCTCTAACTAACTGTTGTCTAACTCTCATGGTCCCTTTCGAAGTCGGGCCTTCGTCCAACGAGAACGCTCCCTAGCTAGCCTTTTAAATGAAAATTAAATATTTTAACCAAATAAACCTAAACGTATAAGAAAATGACAAATTTACATTCTTTATTTAATGATTTACCACAAAAAAAAATTGATATTCACTAAAATAGCCATTAATCTCATGATGATCGTCAATTATAAAATATATTATTTTTTTGTGATATCAATCACCGTATTCAATACATTTTTAGAAATTATATCACAATATAAAAAAATAAAAAAAATTTGTTGTGAATGGTATTTAGAGATCCTTTTAACAAAAAAACATTAAAAAATAATGTTTTTTTTTTAATTTAGAATTTTCAAAATATATATATATATATATATATATATATATATATATATATAATTTGCAACCCTAATCGCGAGTAAACAAGACCCAACAATTATATTTTGATTAAATTCCCTATTTTAAATGGTGAAATTTATGTTATTAATAATGTTCCTCATAAGTTTCCTAAATGTGCAACCCATGATTATATAAAACTAAATCTAAACCAGGGAAGATGCCCATGCTTCGCATGGGTTAGAAAGGGTTTTGTTTTTGGTTGATTATATTAATGGAATGCACTTACAGGTGAAAGTGGATTGCATTTAAGGATAAAAGTTTCCGAAAAATCGAAGAACAAAAAATAAATAACCATTAAGAATCAAACCTCTGTACTTACATTGATTTGTTTATTTTCAAGCCATCTATTATTTAGACAGCAAAATTTGAAAAATCTTTGTGCAAATAAAGAATCAGGGAAAAAAAATCCGACCATACTCGAGAACTAACTCATTGCTTTTCTATTTGATTCATCAAAATCAGCTTCACTCATCAACTCTTCTTTGAGCAATCTGCAAGATAGATAAAGTACACGATACTTTACTCAAGGGTAGTTTGGACATTTGGTCAAACAACTAAACTTTGTAATACAAAATAGAGAAGGATAGAAGGATTGGATAGACAAACCTCATCTGGAGTGATAGGAACATCATCATCTGCAGTCTTAGTTAGTATTATTATATTTGCAGGTGTCCTAATGTTTTTCACCATTCCTGATGTCACATATGATATGTTAAATGTTAAAACCAAAAAAGTTTTCATGTTTGCCAAAAAAAAAAAGATAAGCATTTAGAAGTTTGTTTATCAAACTGTCAATATTTAAGCAGAGAGCTTTATAAAAACCTAGATATAAGAGTAAACAATGAGATCTTCCATGCATGCTGTCCCAAAATCAATAATTATGATCCTTGCTGTCTTCACACTGGTAACAAACAATAAATAGAGGGGTTTATTCGTAGATTATGTACTTATATGGAAGGAATAGATTTTTTGCATACCACATATTAGAGAAAATCTAACAATAAATGCAACCTTCTACAACATCAACATTTTATTATTATTTTTTTAAAAAAATAAATCAATTCAATTCTCTAAAAATCTAACAAACAACAAAATTGTAAATAATCGTAATGTAATACGGTATCAGACACCGATAATCCAACAAAGTTCTATATCAAATAGTCGTAATGTAGTAACTAATTTGTTTCTGAACCAGTGGTAATGTAACCATCAGACACCGATAATCCAACAAAGTTCTGAAAAAAATAATACATATCACACTACTTTTGCAATTTTGGTCCCAAAACCTTTTCTCTATCAAGTTTAGTATTTATTCTCAAGTTTTCCATTCCTAATGCTTTCATATAGAGGTGCATATGCATTTTTATTTATGTTGTAGTTAGCATGGCCGCTTAATTTATTTTTAAATGGCAATTTTGCTCTTGTATAAAATCTGAAAAGGACAGTAATGAAATAAATTTAACAGTTAGGCTGTTAACTCATATGACATAGGAACCAAAGTCATTAGGGAACTTCAAAATAAGAACAAAATTTGCAAAAGAAAACTTTTTGGAATGAATTTTCAAAAAAAAAAAACATGTACACTCAAGTGCCATTAATGTAAAAGTTATTCTTGTATTAACGAATAAAAATATCATACCTTTACATTCATACGTCTTGTGAACGACTCAATGAGGGAATCAAGAGAAGTGCAGTCTGATAAATCCCAAAGCTTGATTGTGTTATGAGTAGATGATGATACAGAAGTCATGTAATCTACAAATTTCACATAACTAACGATTTTGTTGTGTCCAACTAACGTAAAATGTGTCCTACCTGGATCCCTCAAATCTTAGTAATAAATCCTATGATCAGCTGAACGAAATGCTAAACTACTCACTGAATCAGTTGGAAACTGAACACAAGAAACTATCATCTTCGTTTTAATGGTCCCCACACTCTACCCCCTGCATAAACAACCAATGCAAGGAAAATCAACTTATTACATGAATTTTTTATTTTTTTCACTTATGTACATTTAAATATATCTACATTACGTTTACTTTTCAAAGTTGAATTATCTGATTGATATTCCAAAGCTTTAAAGATCCGTCGTCACTCCCGCTCGCTATCATTGCCGGTTTCGTAGTTGAAAAGTCAACTCACCACACACATTTTTCGTGGTGTTGCAACTCCATAAATAATTCGTTCCGTGTGATATCCCATATGTAAAAAAAATTAAATGACTGATTAATATTCGGGGTTAATGTCATAAACGGGTAACCAACTATTTAAAGTGTTTGAAAAACACCCCTGAATTATTTATTAAAACAATAAAAGCCAATCCAACCAAAAAATTTATACTGAAACTAAAGCATATGAAATACCATTACATGATGCATATCAATATGTGAATAATCATCAGAATAAGTGCAAAAAACTATTTGAAAGTTATGAAAGTGAAAGGGAAACCTGAAGGAATCGAGTAAGCAATGGTTTGTATACAAAACACCTTTAGGACATGAGATATCAAATTTACACCTACAATATGTAATATATGTAAGTAAGTATATATAATCAATCAAGAATATTCATCTCAGTTGGAACACAATTGGAGGAAAAAAGAAGATTACAGGAAAGTTTACATACTATTTGTAGATCATGGAATAAAATATCGGTTCTTTCAAGCATTTGATCGAGTAGTTGGTCTGCATCTCCAAACCTGCCAACTTTTTCGAAAGGAGTGGGAGTTCAACGGTATCAACTTTCAGTCATGAAATGGAACTGTAGCTTAATTGAAATCCGAAATCAAGTATTTATTTGAAAAGATTAGTGCAAATAGTAGTAGAAAACATAAATAATTAAATTGTTTAACAGCTAAGCAATAAGAATAGAAAACTAACAGAGTTTAAAGTTGTTGATTATTCGTACTGAATTATAATAAATTTACAAAATAGTAAATTCCAATGACCTTGTGCCAGTGCAACTGGCATGGGAATCCTAGCTTCCATGCTCTGCATCTTTAATGATATCTTCCACAAATAATCAAAGCTCATTGCAGCTGGAACCTCCAATTGCGTGCATTCATGACCTAGTAATATAAGTTGTGTTTACAACACAGTAGACATCAAAATTGACAACTAAGCATATAATGAGAGGTGTGTTTTAATTATAGCAATCACCAATTAGAAATGGTTTGGGTAAAAATAGAGTCGGAAATTAAATAGCGTACACACAAGACAAATGTCTAATTCTTCTTGGAGATAAAGCAATTGGATTCTATCTGAGATTCAAAATCAAACAACTCAAAAGTAAACTATCGAGTATAATCAGAGACTGAATCGATTTGGCCGTAGCCAGTAAGATTTCCTTGAAAGGTGCTTCCTCGATGGTGAAGTTGGAATGTGGTGAGAGACGTAAAGAAAAATAAACAAACCTGGTCTATTTCTTATGTGAAGTAAGGTTTAGGGTTCGTTTGCTGACAAAAGTGGTGCTCTCGTTGTTGGTCCGGGGATGGAACGAAGATGCAGTAGCGGTCGATGGAGGCACCGACTTCGAGACTTCCAATAGTAGTAGAAGTCGACCATGTCAGTCGATTTCTCCGGTGCAACCACAATCGGCGGCAAGGAGGTGGCCTCTGGTTCCCTTTCATTCCGACTGATTGAACACATTAGTCAAAAGGTGACTTCAGAGAAGCTCCACCGTTGGTGGTATCTGGAAAATTAGGAACATGTAGAAGTGAACAATCGGGTGGAAATAGAGAAAAAAACGAAAGAGGGACGATGCTCTAATTGTAAAGCGGTTGGAGGTACCGAATAGTCTTTGATCGAGAGAGAGAGAGAGAGAGAGATAGATTATAATCTGTAACACTTTGATTGGAGAACAAAACGGTAGAGAAGAAGAAGCAGAAACGTATCTGTGAGTAAGACTGTCCGGCCACGACCACCATTGACCATTCGACTCCTTTTGAAAAGTTAAAACATTTGACAACTTTGTATAAGAAAAGGGACTAATTCTGCCAATCCCTTAGCCACTTTACTGTAGCTAAGGGTGGACAAAAATATGGCAAACCCCAACAGCAAGTACAACATAGTAGAAGGACTTAATTTGACAAAAAAGACTACAGAATACTGTTGCTAAGGCTTGATAACTTTAATATATTGTATAATTAGTGTCACTTGACTCAAATTGTTCCTCATCAGGATGTCATGTCACTCGTAGCTTATCTAGTAGCATTAATAGTAATTCATATGTTTCTAGGAACAAAAAAAATATTTCAAGAAAATGAAAGTTTTTCACATGCTTGGAAAACTAGGTGTAACAAATCTAGTAAACCTATTTTTGAAAAGAAAAGCAAATTTGTATTAGAAAGGGCTATAGAGTAGGTGACCCTTCTCATGAAACGGTTAAGTATACTTTTGAGGAAGGTTTAAAAAGAGTTGATTATATCCTAATTTGAAATGAAAAATGGATTAAAATGGTAACTTCTTAAATTGTCTCCTTACTGAATGCTATGAAATTTTTAATAATGATACATCCTCAATTATAAACTCATTGAAAATGGGTTCATAAAGTGCTCTAAATTGTTTATTAGTGATGCGGGGTCAAGAGCATATCTGGTATCTTGACAGTGAATGTTCTAGGCATATAACATGATTCAAGTTTCTCCTAGAAGATTATGTTAAAGAAAAAGACATTGTAGTCACCGATGGAGACAATGATAAGGTTACACCAAGGCATATGGCACCATCAAATGCAAGTCAATGTATTTTTTAAATGTTTCATATGTTAAGGATCTAAAGCATAACCTCATCTTTATTAGTCACCTGTGTGATGCTGCTTATGAATTGAATTTCAGTAAAAAGTAAGGAAAAGTGATCGACTCAAAGAATGTCATTATTCTCACTGCTAATTGTTGCAACGACATATACATCCTGGATATGTTTTCCACTTATAACTCACTTAGGCGTTTCTTTTTCTCTCATTTACAATCTCATCTGATGTAGGTGTGGCACAAGATACTCCTTCACTTGAATTTCAAAACCATTTATAAGATTGCAACTAATCAGTTATTGTGAGGGAACCTAAAATGAGATTTGTTAAAGACAAGTTATGTTCAAATTTTGAGAAAGGCAAGAAAACCAAGTCATCTTTCAAGCCAAAGCAGTGTTCATCCATCACTAATCCATTTAGTCTCCTAGTTATGAACTTGTTTGGTCCTATTCCCGTTGCATATCGTGCTGGTAAAAGATACTCATTCATTAGTTTTTACAAGTATGCATGCTTTACATGGGTAGTGTTCCTAAGAAGAATGATGTCGTTGATGAAATAATCTCTTTAGTCAAACAATGTGAGATACAGTTTGATCTAAAACTTAAGCAGCTTAGAAGTTACCATGGCACTGAGTTTAGAAATCATATATTGGAGGAATTTTGTGATGAAAAGGAAATTGCTTAGAATTTCTCTGCTGCTCGTACTCCTAAGAAAACATTATCATTGAACGCATAAATAGGACACTAATTGAAGTCGGTTGAACAATGGTTATTAAAGTCTGTCTTCCTCTATCCTCCTGGGATAAAGATGTAAACACTAAATGATTTCAATGTTATAAGGTTTCCTTCTTTTAAATTACAATGTGTATCGTTATTTGTGAGTTTTCTTAAAGACTATTTTCTATGTTTCTTCAATAGTTTTAATAGCTTCAATTGAAATAAAAAAACAAAATCCAAAAACAAGTTTTTCATTCATAAATTTTCATATATATATATATATATATATATATATATATATATATATATATATATATTACATACTTTATTTTAGTTACAACCAATGCCCTTGAAAAACATTTATGCTGTCCTTATGCACTCAAAGATCCTTCTGATAAAAACCGTGAAGTGGTTTGTTGCATCATAAGCTTCTTAACATCCACCCATTGTTATAGCTCGTATCCACTACATCTTTTTCTTTTAAATTGACTACTACCATTGATGAGTATGGACTTAGTTCTTTAAGATGTGTTACTTGTTTCCATATCGCCCTATTTGTGTTTATGAGGTTATCAAATTCAATCACACAACTCTCTTCTTCGATCCTTGTCACCACTCTAGAGTAATAAGATTCCTTATATCCTAGTTCATGCATCACCGCTTCTACTTTGTCTCCCACTTGAAACACTATCTCTCTCAAATAACAAAGATGGTTGCAATATTATTAGAACTTAATGCATTCTTTTACAACAAAAGCAAGTTGAATCATTTTGGTATTAACGAGACATAATTTATTACTTTGAAAAGAGTGTTGTGCGAACTTCACATCATCATCTACTTCTCTTTTCAAGGAGGATTATCTCTAACAATATATATTAAGTAATTATTATGATTCAACGATAATCTTATCAAGATTTAGATTTTAACTTCCTTTACATTATTGTCCATATAAGCATGCTGTCATATGTGAGTAAATCTCTCCAAGTATCTCATCTTTAAGACCAGATGTTGAGATTACATTGAGTCACCGATACACACTGATTGTCTAGCAAGGTTTAACACTCAGGGTGAGATAACCTGGTCCCTATATATATATATATATATATATATATATATATATATATATATATATATATATATATATATATATATATCTGGCATGGGTGTTCATTTAATTATTAATTGTCTCTATCCAAACATTGTCACTAGAAACATGTTGATGTATGTATAAAGTCTTATGTTCCTCTGGAACATTGAGCATAAACTTATGGCTTAATGACAAAACTATCTATCTATTGAGAGAAACTTGTCTGGTCTTAAATGAAAAAGGGTCATCAACCTCATTCACTAGTGTCCATGATCTTGCTATTAAACCATAGTGAAGTGAGACATATCATGCACTTGGTATCCCTAACCCTCTATATTATCATCATAGATTGGAAATGTCACCACCCATCCTTCTTTATTAAAAGGTGTTAAAACAACATGGTCTCTTAGAAACAGTTTCCACTACAAAGTCATACGCTGATATTATCATAGGTTTAACATTTACTTGTCAATGTTTTTCTTAATGGTTATTTTCTTAAATCAAATAAGCATCATGATGATTAGTTTGGGGGGTTACGAGAAACCCGACTACTTTTTCTGACATGATTATCACCATACATAAGCAGATTTCAAATCATTTAAAATCCCTTCTCATATATATATATATATATATATATATATATATATATATATATATATATATATATATATATATATATATATATATATATATATATATATATATATATATATATATATATATATATATATATATATATATATATATGGAAGCGTTCAATCGAGAACATTTCTTATTGCAAGAACATTTGAGAACAAAATTTAACCACACAATTTTTTAAAATTAAACTCATCATATAATATTAATATAACCAAAACATAAGTAAAACAAATTATAAAAAAACCCACTAACCAACACCACTCACCACCAAAACAATACCATCTACCACCACCACTACCTGTCACCGCCACCCACCTCCACCACTCATCATCACCACCCCACCCACCAACTAACATCATCACCACCATCCACCATATCCAGTGACGACCATCATCCACCACCACCATCATCACCCGCCACAACCAACCCTACTCACCACCCGCCACCACCACACCTCCACCGCTATCCACCTCCACCACCCATCACTACCACCCACCTACCACCATGATGTTGGATTAGCTTTCTAAGCCAGGAACTATAATTGGTATGTACTTGATTTGATTTGTAGCATGGTCCTTTCAGGTTGCCTTCATTCATTCAACTTGACAGGATGACTACTAGCGAGAGAGTTGAATTTATTATTTGGAATAATAAATTGGTGATTAAAATGATTTTATTAACATATTACAAGTTTAATTTATTATTTGGAAATCATATTATTAATTGGTAATTAATCAGAAATTAATATAAAATTAATTTTGGGATTAAAGGAACTAATTAATAAAGTGAAGGTTTGTTTTACAAATCATTGATAGTTGTGAAAGTGGGCTCTTGGACCTTTTTGATAGTAGTGGATGGAAATTATATAGGGAGGCCTTATAGATTCCGTCCAAGGGCTTCTAATGGGTATCCATGAGTTGCTTTGGCCCTAAGCAAGGAAATTAGCGTTTCCACTTGAAAACCGTAACACCACAAGTACATAAGGAGGGTTTTTCCTTGGATTTTTGGCCAACCTTTGTCTTTGGAAGAACCCTAGTCATTTTTCTACCTCTCTCCAAGTCATCTTTTGTATTGGGTGTTTGTGACTCCATTGAAGATGCAACACTTGGGGAACTAAGCTTTCAAGAGTCAAGGTGGTTCTTGTTATTGCTACATAACAAGTAATGTAATGATCAAATCCTAATATTATATATGAATTTCGAATTATATATGCTAGATCTTGGGTTATTACTTTGGTGTTCATATTTGTATGTTCAATAGATAAAAGCTTATATCGAAAGCAATTAGGGTTGCATGATCACATGTGAATGTAGATATGCTCAAAATCCATCAATTGTATTAGAGCCTAGGATGTTTTTCAATTGAATTGATGCAAGAGTGAACTGTCCAAAGTGATTGAAAATCGATTTTTGGTTGTCTGACACATGAACTCGGCGA